CCCTAAATATATATATATATATATATATATAGATATAGAGAAAGATATAGACATATATATATATATAGATATAGATATATACGTATATGTGTAGCAGGGGGACCCAGGAAAAGCCTCGAAGGCCATTCTTAGTCCACCTCTTACAAGACCGAAGCACGCAGACTGAAAGTCAGTCAGGCAGTCAGACGCCCAGATAGTCTCTTGAAAAGGAGACCTCACAGCACGCACGACCTTGAATCGCCTAAAAACCCTAAACCCTAAACTAACCCTAAACCCTAAAGCAACCTCGGAGGACTTTTGAGAGGCGGAGTCGCTGCTCGGCGGTGCAGCACGCACCATGCAGTCAAGTCGGCAGGTTGTTTCGGCCGGAAGCTCAGAAAATCTCCTCCTCATAGCTGATCCGACGCTTTCGCTGCGTCAGCCGCCTCATTTCACATCTGTTCTTCAAACGAGTCTGAAACTGAGGTTCGGTCGGAGGAGCATACAGGATCATAAAGGCTTCCTTTGAATTCATGTCGTCATCCATAGTGCGTAAAGGTTTTATTGCAAGCTGCTCGGCGAAAGGCAGCTGAGGTGCTGCGCAGGCGACAACACATATCGAAGCTTGCTAGAACCGCGGCCAACCTATCTGCGCCTGCTCAATCCACATGCAAAGCATGCCCTGCAAGGGCCCGAACTGGGCAGCCTGTTCCTCATCTTCCACGGATTCCTGTGGTTTGGCGTGCGTTTCGGGATTTCCTGGCTTAGGCCTCAGAGGGTTCAAGCCGTGGGGATTCGGACTGGTGGGATTGGACGGTGCAGGGACGTTTATAGTGTCCAACCGCTTGCAATTCGGGCATTCGCGCTGAGAGCCTTAGGCGGAGAGCAATCAATTTTCTGAAGTCTCGCTGGGGCCCGAAGTGAAGTCAACATGCATTAACATGCGGGGGTGCTGGGGTTCGGGAATGCTGAGGATTTGGTTTTCAGCGAAAACTACATCGCACAGTCTGCACAGTCTGCACAGTCAGCTGGACCTCCGCACTCTGCAAAGCTAAGAACTCTATCCAGGCACCAAGTAGACCGTGGGCGGGAGACTTCTAGATTTGGGTTCAGGGTGGCCAAATCTAGATTCCCTGCAAAAGCATGGCCTTCTCCTCGTGCTCCGAGCTGGGTTCCGCAGGGTCCAGGCCTTCTTGCGACGAGACCGGTGGCCCAGGGCCAACTTTATGAGCAGTGCTACCTACCGCCCCGGGGGGCAGGGCGCATGATCCTTTCTTTGCTACTATGCTGTTTCAGAAGGAGCCCCCAAGACAAAAGGGAACAAGGGCAGAGGCTTCTCCTATCGGTACGAGTATCACCCTACAACTCCAAAGAAGCAACACATGGGGGATTCTCCGAAAAAGGGTCTTCTGGGGCTACCATTAACAGGCGGCCCGTAGGGTACTCAAAAAAAGACCACAATTTTGAGAAATGACCACATAGACCTCTGCGAATCCGCGTCACAAGGTTTCAAAGGCCAGCAACAGATAGGTTGGATAAACAATCACTGCTTCAGGCAGTGTGCCCATCCGTCCGTATCCTCCGAATGGTCATTCTAACTGTCGTGTGGCCCGAAGGGAAGCAGGCGGGTGAGCATTGACTGAAATACTCGGGTACATGCTGGTCTTCGAAAACGGGCGCAACAAAACAACACAGCAACTAACTGGCATCCCAAAGCTGACTCGAAGCCCAAGGTCCGCCAAAGATCTTTGAGGCCCTCACCGCTGAAGAGATCAAGGCCACCGGCCATGGATGCCCAGTAGCGCCTTGCTCAAGGTGAGGACGATTCAGGGCATTCCATAAACGCACACCCCGATGACTTAGAAGGGGGTTTCCGAAATTAGGGGTGCCTTCTTGAAGCCCTTAGTGCACGGGGATCCCACTATTTGGGTATCTATATCTTTGCCATTCTTAACGTCTGCCAAAGAGCATGCTTGCCCTGCTGAAGCGACTTACGAAACAAAAAGCTCAAGCCCTCGGCTAGAATAAGACAACGAAACAATATGTCCCTAGGTAGACTTAGCTACGTCCATCAAGTAGCTCTGCCTAGCTTCCTGCAACTGCTGTATCTGCAATCTGCGCCCCTGCAGTGCCTAAGCCAGGCCTCTTGGATCCTTAATTCCCTGACACCTGAAACATTTAACATGGGGGTTTACGACAATAGGGGATCTTCTTCCTCTTAGCCCCCTGATCCCGTTTAGTATGACCGCACTTACCTTATGATTAGCCCAACTCGTGACCAGATCTCAGAACACCAACTTGGCCCCGATTGGACCGCCATCATCGGCTGGGGCTGCAGCCTCTCCTCCTCCTCTGGGGACACACGCCGTACTTCAACCTGAGGGGATGGGAGGAGGTTGGGAGTAACTGCCAAAGCTTCGAGGCATGAGGCGGGCACGTGCCGCTTGTCTATGGAGGTTCTCAATGCTCTTCCGTGTTCTTTTGGGTATCGGCGCTCTAACACCATAAAACCCCTTGGCATCTTTTCAACCCTGCCGCTGGACTTGGTAATTAGTGGAGCTCCCACAGCTCTGCGCAGCCTCTAATGACTCTAATGCCAACACGCTCTGGGCGTCCCGCTGTCTCGTCGACATCTTCGTTCTCGATGGATGGGTGCTGCTTGCGCGCTCCTGCAAAACAAGCTTCGTCGTTTTGATGGAAAATTTCTACACCCGACTCCCAAGCCAGGCTTTCACTTCAGACAACTCGAGCAGGCAAATTCAGGAGCGAAACCGTTCAGGGGTTTCTAGTCTGTGGCCAAAAGCTTTGAAATGACTTAAATCTCTCCCAATCCTGCTACGCCAAAAACGTTTGCGATCGCGCCCATGTGCACCGGGATAGGACGCTGGCCCTCATCCCTTGCTGCCCTAAACGTGGCAAAGCAGCGTGCCTTGCCCCTGACGTGGGGGGGCTGAAGGTCCCGCCTGAGGTCTGCCGGGCCCGGATCGGTCTGGGAACGCTGATGCTGGATGGACTGCCCCCTCTCGTCTTTGGTTTGCAGCATGTGCAAGCTCGAGCAACTCGTACACAAATAGGTACGATGGACTCATCGAAAACCAGGGCTGGCCTTTTTTTGTTTTTTTTTTGTTCCTTTATTGGAGCTTCTTTCACTACTTTTCGAGTCCGGTATAGCCTTCAATTTTGTGGCTGCAGCTACGGTTCCCTATTTTAGAGGCGAAGTGGCCCAGTACTTTGGTTTAGGGTAAATCTGGGGGATCTGGGACCTCCGACTCGGAAGCCCGTTTTCAGAGTTCCCACAGACGAGACCTTGATTAATTGCATTCCCCTTTCCTGAGCTCTGGGCCCTGTGCGTCACCCCCCCCCCCCCCCGGAAAACCCCCCCCAAACTGCACTGAAACTTGAGGAAATTCACCTTACCCCTGACATGTCCCAATATACCCACTTTGCTTCAGGGCTCCTGCGTTGTCCTGCCTCACCCTAAACGGACAAAACGGACAACCTCTTTGCAACTGGACTGCAATCCGCTGCCAGGAAAAGGCCCCAAACCTAAACCCCAAACCCGAAACCCTAAACCCTCCTTTGAGACACAGGACCGGAATCCTAAGCCTCCGACGCTGCAACTCGATGCCAGGAGCCCGAGGGCCATCAACCTGGGCACGTTCGTTGGGATTTGGGTCTTGGGTTTTGGGTTTAGGGTTTTGGGCTTAGGGCTTAGGGTTTAGGGTTTACGGCCAAAGTTCAGGATTTACAGTTTAGGGTTTTGGGTTTGTTAATTGACTCTTCATAGGGAAGGAGGGAATGAGGTGCCTACATCACTCCCTGAAAGGCTTTATATAGGGTCAACATAAGGTACCCTCACTCCCCTAGAGCCACTAGACTGTCAGGCTTTTGGGGCTCCTAGAAGTTTCAGGGTTCAGGGCCGAGGGCTTGAGGACTTTTTGGGGGATTACAGGGTTCATGGGTTGCTGCTAACAATTTGCAAAAACAGCTACAAGAATAAATAGACCGACGCTGTTTACCAACTTGGAATCCATTCAATGGTGGTAGCTTCGTCTTAAGTACGTCGAGACCCTGACGAATGTAGCTGTTGAGGACCGAGACTCGGACTTCGGAGAATCGGGTTTACTTACTGGCTCACCATAATATAATATGATAATAATACATATATATATATGTGTATATATATATATATATTATTGGGAACTGGGGACAAGGCACCTATAAGTCTACCAGCCTCAAGCAAACATCCTCCTTGGCCCAATGCCGGAAAATGGAACATGTCCCAAGGGCCAAACCCTAATGCAGGGCCTGAATGTATCATAGTACAAAATTATGTTTGGACCAGAAGGGAATACATTTAGAAATTAGTAGTAATGGTTCCGACCCCTTATTCAAGCCTTCCAAACCTCAAAGCAGGGTTCCCAGGCCCTTTGTCCAGGTCTGAGGGCTCGCGCACCTGCGTGGGGATTGAGTCGTCGGCGCTGAGGTTCCCAGTCGTAAACTATGGCACCCGCCATTTTGGCACTCTTACTTCTTCCTCTTGCGGTTGCGATTCTTTCCATGGTTCGAGCTTCTTGTCATGTCTTCATACTCTTGCCATCATCATTAAGATTCACACTGCACAGGTGAGAAGGCCTTTCTTTGGATTTCTGTCCATTTTGGTCCTGATCGAACCCGATGTCCGGCAACCCTTGACGAATGCACTGAAACACCTCGCATAAGAACAGATCATTCAACGGATTCCCCAAGCCATCCAAGGATATCTATGAATGGGCAGGTATACAGCCGGTACGCGCACTCTTCTTGCTAAAGCCCTGGTGGAAGATCTTGGTGTGTGTTAGGCGGCTTATGTGTCTCACACAGAGCCGACTTGGCCTCATCGGTCTCGGTGATTCCAGGTGTCAGCGTTTACTAAGACTTCACATCGCGAGGGCTGCTGGGCGACAGGAAGCACCAATGTGACCCCAGGGGTGCGTTCTCTTTTTGTCCGCAATGCCGCCATGTTGAGCTGGTGTCGTCGATCAGTATCCTTGGCCATCAGGAGGAATCACTTGTTGGCCGGGCGCGACTTGGCACCATGTGATAAGTTTGACAAGGCCTCTCATGGTAACCCATGCTTGCCTCCATATGTTCCCTGTGCTAAGAATGTTCTCGACAGCGTTCCCTGTCGAAACTGAAAGTGCGCAAGCCAGCCTGACGCAATTACAGGTTGACCTAGGGTTGTTCTAGATTAGGGTCTGTTTTGGGGCCCTTGAATAAGGGAGTTCATTAAACCAGCGATTCTTGCTTGAAGAACACGTTCGAGCACAACCCTACTCGAAGGCAGGTGGACGTTGCTTGAAGGAACTTAAACAAACTTACCATAACATGGTTGTTACGTAGCATATCATTCGTCGGTCTTCATTCAAACTCCTGAAGATCGAAGCTCGAAACCTGCAGCCTTGTCCCAAATCTTGAAGAACCGAACTGGAGCGCGCTGTCCTACTTCAAGGTCCATGGGCAGCCAACGCAGCTGGCTTTATAGTTATGGCAACTGTAGACTCAGCAGAGTAAAAGGCTCGTACTTATTACTACTCTAACTTCCCACGAACCTTCAAGCTAGCATAGACCACTCGTCAGGGAGCCCTGGTTGTCATAGCCGCCTTCGCCGTAACCCTGGTCCTGGACGACAGTCTTTTCGGGGGGGTTGTTCAAAGATCTTCAAGGCGCTACGGAAGGCTTACAGGGTTTCAACGGGCTTTCTTTGGGGGTGGGTTTTGCCGTTGAGGTTCAGGAGGCTGGGGCTGCGCGAACAGAATTGCATGATGGGGGCTGAGCTCGAAAGTCTGTCGTTCTTCTGCGCTTCACAATGGTAGCTTTCTACGCCTTCGTGGATGCAAATCCGGACCTCAACCCGAATCAGGCTTGTGATTGCGCCAGTTATGAGAACGATCTGCGAGCACCGAACCCTGAACCCGAAACCCTAAACCGCAAAAAGGTCTCCTCTGCTGGCATCATGGGGGGCGCCTCCTCCTGAGGCAGGAGACAAAGTGGGGTATTCAGGGCGGTTTCTTAAGCTTTAGGGCTCGACTCTCACTCTCGCGCACTTGCAGGCAGGAGGCTTCGATGTGTATCGGTTCTCTGTGAGTTAGTGTTATGCCCTGTGCCCTTCACGACAAGAGAGTTACCACAATACAGCCCATCAGCTGCACAAGGCCACAGGCTCTCTTCTGTTCTACAACAGGTCAGACCTTTGTGTCCTTCTAGCATCTTCCCTCGCAGCAAGAACGCGCACCAGCAAGGCAGTTTCTCAGTTTCTCAATCATGGTTTAGGGCTTGATTATAGGGTTTTAGGTTTTTTTTTTTTAACAACCCTTCACTCCTTTTCGGGCGAGCTTGGTTTTAGGGTTTAGGGTTTAGGGTTCAGGGTTTAGGGTTTAGGGCTTAGGGTTTAGGATGACCAGAAGAAGCTGCGACCCGAGCAAGAAAGTCCTTCGGCTCGTGGACGATCACGTTGTCGGGCAGCTGCATCTTGGGTCCCATCTTGCCTTCTGGGTCGTGCGACATCATGATCTTCACCTCAAGGGTTTAGGGTTTAGGGTTTAGGGTTTAGGGTTTAGGGTTTAGGGTTTAGGGTTTAGGGTTTAGGGTTTAGGGTCGGTTCTGGAGATTCTGGTTTAGGTCCGGCTGGAAGCTCCGACGGCGCCAGGGTGAGCTATACAAACTCCTTTCAGGTGGTACGAACCTCATGGATCTTGCAGGAGAGCCTCGTTTGTCAGTCGAATCGATGTGGAGCAAGAGCCATGTGAAACCAAGAAACTGTATTTTCCTGCACTGAGTAGTGTCAGAGAGCCTTTAACTACGCCTGCTGCGGATTTGATAGTTAGATATTTGTTGGAGTATGTCGTGCGTTGCTGGTCTTGCAGATCTTTTCGACTCGAAACGAAGGTGAAGCATTGCCACCTGCAACGAACATGCGCCGAGCCCACGCCAAACTCCGCAGCCAAACGCGGACACACCAAAGCCTTGAATCCGAATGGCCCTGGGAAGATACTCCCCCAAGACGAGACGAAAGTTCCAAGGGGCCTTGATCCCGATAGTTCCCTGTCGCATCTGCACGTGGCGCACGGCCTCAGAGATGTAGTGCCTGGACCGCAGCTCTGGGGCTCAGTGTGCGCTTTCTGAGCCTCGTACATGACATGTTTCGGGGTTCACCTACGACCTACAGGTCCTCGCATGGACCCAGAAGGGAAATATACAGCACTTTGATCAACTACCATTTGCCTTGTGCACGGCTTGTGTATACAAGGTATGCAGTGAAGTGCTGCGAGCTCCTGCTCCCAAAGTGCGCGTTCCACCGCTTTGGCCTCGGGCACGCCTAACATCGTCGGCGCGCAAGTCTAATTCCGCCCTGCCCCCGTCCATCACCTGTGAGAATACTTGAACCGCCCCTGGACCTATATCTGATGCTAGAGGGGTGGGGGGGGGGCCTCGGCCCCCTTAGAGACTACAAAGTACAGCCATTGAGCAGCACGGGGCCCTACTTGCAGGGTCCCCTCAAGACTCAGGATACTGCAGCGCAGGGATCCACAGAAGCTTCTTGAAGACTGGCCCAACCCGAAACTCCCAACCCCTACAGCCGAAACTCCCCAAAACGGGTGCCTCTTGGGCTCGCCAGTGGAGATAAGGTAGCCCTGCCTTCGCAACCATCGGAGGGCGCCGATTCTTGGGGCTTGAGGCTGTTCGAGGTTATGTCTGCTTCTGTTGTTATCGTTAATGACCATTTTTCTTCTTGTTGCTGCTGATGCTACTGCTGTCGCTTGCTTGTGTCTAACCCTGAATTGTGGCAAAGCAAGGAAGTCGCTAGCACTGCTTCCGGTGATATCAGAAGCAATACGTAAGCGCATATCTAGTTGAAATGGCTCAGAAGCCCTGCAGGGTTGCGATGCTCAACACAGTCAAAGTCATTGATACGCCCTGTACCAAAGACGCTGCTACAAGACGTGGCAGGAAGACCCAGCTCACTCAAGCTGCCCCGACAAGAATCAGGATTTGGGCATAGGGCCCAGTGTCCTTTTTGGTAGGGCCCTGTGGCGCCTGAACTTCATCGCCTTGGCTCGCTGTGCACGGAGCTTGCCGCTGATGATAACCTCCACGCCCTTGGCGCCATTCTCCATGATGAACCTGCAAGCAAGCACTGTACCATTATGTGGATGCTTTGCCACCCGCCCTTGAAAGGGTTTGAGGTTTTAGGTGCAGGGAAGCCCGCAGGGCCCTTGACTTTATAAGGGGTGCACATCCCTCAGCTCCACGGAATTCGGGTGGGCCACTGCCGCCCCCTTCACTGATTCATGGGCCATGGCATGGACATGCGCCGCGCGCCTCAGCACACCATAGCAGGCGCGGCGCACGGCCAGGCCTCCGATGAGCTTGAAGCCTGGGCGGGTCGTTCATGGGTAAGTCGTGAACTCCAGAATCCAGAAACCTTGCTGTACAGCAGATTTAGCTTGAGCTTCATGTTGGGGTCTCGCACGCGGTGCGATGCAGCCTTCAGGACGCTTGCTGTTGCCTCCGGCACATCGAGCTGTTAGGAGGTCCGCAACACACAAGCCACAGACGAAAGCAGCTTGAGGTCCATGGAAAAGGGTGGAAGTGCTGTGGTATTTCGAACTTGGGTCTGCCGATGTCTGTCGTGTTGACCTTTCAACCTTGCCTAGACCCCAAACCCTCAACCCTAAAGGCCCCAACAGCCTCTTACCTTGCACTAAAAATGGATAGCAGCGATAATGACAATTATACATTATACAATATTTAAAAACAAAATTTATATATATATATATATATCATCGAGAATAACAGTAAAAGCTAACTGTACCAACAATGAATATATAATAATAATAATAATAATCATTATTATTATTACTATTATACTAATAATAATCATAATAATTATACTGAGGGCCTGGGCATGCTGGGGCCTCCGACGCAGCGACTCGCACTGAGCCATGGCGCAGCTCGCGCGGTTCCTGGGGGGCATCTTTTTTTGGGGGATCCTTAATGGGGATTCTAATAGGGGGTACTATAATCCCTATTGAGAATAGGGACTTTAATATGGGGGTACTATAGTATAAGGAGGAGCATCTCAAGTTCAGGGGCTCTTTTTTTCGGCCCGCCTTAGGGTTCTAGTGGTTTTTAAGGGGTCGGGATGCTTGGGGTTTCAACTCGGTTGGAGGTCTATTCTTTGATTTTGGGGTCGGGGGTGGGAAGGGTGGGGGTTTACTTGTTTTGGTGAGGGGTGAGAGTTAGCATGGCTTGAGGACCCTCTTCAGCCATTCCCATGAGGTGGGATGGTGGAAAAATCTTCGTTGAACTGAACCCCTGGCCCTTTTACAACCCTCTTTTGCGTCCAGGAATCCTACCCCTTTTGATTGTAAACCCAAACTCCCCTCTCTCTCCAAATCCCCAAACCCTTGTCCCCGAATGCTGTTAACCCCCTGGTGCCAAGCGACTCCACACGCTCGGCGAAGAGCTCCACGCTGTTTTCAGGGAACCCGAAGCGCTTCTGGACCTGCGAATCGAAAGTCTCGGAATAGCAAAAGTCGGGTTAGTTCAAGCTGGGTGGTTGAGCCATTAAGTCAGCAAGAACGTTGTGCCCTTTTCAAAGAAACTTACTCCTCCAGCCGCAAGAGCCCTCCTATGCATTACGAGACTCAGGCTTCCGAAGTTCCGGCTTCCCAGCTGCACAGAAGAGCGACCGAAAGATGAGCACGACCTTGGCCCTAGATTTTTACTAACCCTAAACCCTAAACCCTATTAGCCCACTACCCAAAGTCCAACAGCCAATCAAATCCCAGACGAAAAAACTGAGAAAGCTGATGGCCCTGGCTCCAAGATGCTGGCCACCTAATATAGGGGTCGGAGAAACTGCGAACAGCTTATGGTCCCTTGATAAGAATACTACAATAACCCCCCCAAAAACCCTATTCCGACTATTCAGGCCCCTATAGCAGAAACCCACCAAGATGAGCTCTCAAGCTTTGCAAACCCTAGCCCTGCCAGGGCAGTGAGCTCTCGGATGCGTCGGCCCTTCTCGCCCAGAACCTCGCGGGTCCTGCGCCGGTGGGGGAAGGGGGGGTGGGGGAGTGGGGGGGGTGGGGGGAGGGGGGGAGGGGTGCGATGAGGAACCTTGAACTTCTGGCCCCTTTTTTGGACCCTGAACTCGGGTGTACCTCAACCTAGCTGAGTGAGAGCGAGAGACAAACAGAGAGAGACAGAGACAGAGAGAGAGAGAGAGATACATAGAACAATGCTGTCCCCCCAAACCCCACCCCCCCCAACCTGTTTTTGAGCACGGGCTTTGGACGTACACCAGCAAACTTGAAACCGAACTCATTGCACAGCTTCTGAATTTAGGTATCAGGCTCAGGGACTTTACAACGAGCCATGTGCAGTTCGCAATAAACCCCAAACCTTTTTGCTACTGGGCTGAAGGTCTAGCCAGTCTCCAGACCTCAATCTTCTTGACCGAGGCTGACATGCAAAAAGCCCTGATGCTTGCATCCAGGCTTAAGCCGCTTGTAAGAACTATACTGTAGCATAGCAGCCATAGCAAAAGCATGCACGGAATAACGTCAGCCAACAGACAAACCTGCACGGATGCGCCTACGTTCTTCCTTGAGTGCGAGGCGCTGTGCTCTGTGCTGATTCCGTAGAATTTGTATAGACTCAAGCTGGAAGGCAGGCTCACTCTGACGGAGATCCTTGAACGAACCATGTCGAACGGTGGGTTGACCCGCACGTGGTGGTATCATGGATTGATCTGACCCTGAGGTTCGTAAAGTAACTTCCGATGGTGCAGCACGTTCCTGCACTAAAAGTCTGCGATCAAAGTCAGTCACTTCCCGAATGACCGTCTGAAGAGCCTCCTCGTATCTCTGCACGAGAGCTTTGCATTGTCGTTCGGAGAGTAGTTCTTCATATGTCTGAGTGCTCACATGACAAGCCTTGACGCTCTGATGGCTTTCCCGGGAACAAGTCTGGGAGCTGCGCGCGGCCTCATCCGATTCCTGAAGGTTCAGTCCCTCGAACAGGCTGATTTTTCGTTTTGGTTTTCCGGTGGAGTCTTCAACCAGTTCTCGCAGCACCTGATTCAGCTTTGGAGTGGCGGAAGCGCATCCCAACTTAGAAGAAAGACGCAGCGCGTAAGCCAAGCAGGATACCAAGCTCCTCCGGAGTTTTCCTTCTCCGTCATCCATGGCAGCAAAGGAATTCCTAATTAGAAATGCTCACTAGAGCCTCGTAGCCAAGATGTCTTGAGCCGTAGCCAAACCTTAAACCCTAAACCTTAAACTCAACCCCAACCCCTATAAACCTTAAACCCTGAACCCAGGCACCGTGTGACAGGTTAGAAACCCTAAATCTCGAACCCTGACCCAACCCTGACCCAAACCAACCGCACCACAGGAGGGGGGGGGGGGGGATGCAACCCATCAGAATATGTGATTATATAATGATAAAACACCAATACAGATACACACTTTATTATACACATACATATACAGTATAAGTATAAGTATAACCACACACACAAAAGAAAGACTTGTTCATTCATTTAAATAAATATAAATAAAGAAATAAATAAGTAATATGTATATATGTATATATATTCATTAGTTTTTTTATATATACATACACATACTTATTTACGTGCTTTTTATGAATGTGATTAAAAAACAAATATATACATATATATATATATATTAATTAATTTAGTTATGTATTTATTCATTTTATCTACACACATACACACGCCAGCGTATAGGGGGGGAGCCTTGGGACGGCCTGGGAACCTAAACCTGGAGCTTAGCAGCCCGAGGCGCAGCACAAGCGAGTACCAAAAGAAACTGGGCTGGGATTTTATGGGGCTTAGGTTCGGGATTTAGGGTTGAGGGTTTGGGAGTTAGGGTTTAGGGTTTGGAATTTAGGGTTTAGGGACTATTTGGGGCGACACAAACAAGTGCTGGGCCTGGTCGCCCGGATGATGATCTCCGTGCGGATGGGGGTCACGCGAACCTCCACAACACAAGCGAGCGGATGGCAAACGCCACAAATTCTAAGTCGCTAAGCCAAGAGACGCATGACCCCACCACCTGATGTGAAACTGGCCCCCCCAACTTCTGCATCCTGTTTTTGCTTCCGGTCTCTAAGCGAGACAGGCCTGCAGCCAAAAGGCATCCTTGAACCCTTAACTTCAACCTTAGCTTCTTCAAACCCTGAACTGATCCCTGAAACTTCAGTAAAAGCGCTAGCATCTTAGGCTTCGCCCGAAAATTCAGAGGGGTTGCAAACTTCTCGCTTGCGCCTCGACGCCGGCGTAGCCATCCTGTTCAGGGGCTGCTGCGGGCATCACTCCGCGCGCTTGCGACTCGAGGGAAAGCCACGGAGTATGGGTCTAATCACCCTATAATAACCCTAAAACCCTCGAACAACTGTAATAAACCCCATAAACCGCGCTCCAGCAGCAGCTTGCACGCCGGCCCGAGCTCAACGTCTCATACTGAACATGTGGCCGAAACTCAACACTAAATCTTGTGGTTCGCATGCAAGCAGTACAATCGTTCTATTTCTGCATATTCAATCAAAAGCGTCAATTTAGAAGTGCCTACAGCTCCTCGGAGCTACGGAAAACACAGTGCCTTGGTGGTTTTGCAAACCCACCTGGCTGACTGCCTCCATAGTAGGCTGCGTCCCCCAAACCCCCCTGAACCCTTCATGGCCTCTCCCAGCGTTCGTGCCAGGAATTCGTTGAGCTCTGCATTGAAGACGCCGTCGGCGACGAACTTCCTCTTCTTGGACACCTGCCCCATGCGTGTCACAGTCTGCAGGACTCAGTGGTGATTCTTCTGAGGGTCTCAGTGGAGCCCGGTTTTACACCCACAAAAAAGTTCTGACCAGGGTTCAGGGGTTGTGGTTCGAACCCAGGGCCCGCAACCTCTCGCCTGGGCGGAGCTCATGGCTTCGAGTCGAGGGGGAGCAGCCCAGAATCTGCGGACTTGAGACCTACACCCTGCGGGTGCTGCTGGCATGCGCTGTTGCAAATGCAGGCGGGAGGGACGGCACGTGGTCCCTTTAATGAAAACGCAACGCACGCCGTGTGGTCAAGATCAACAACCTTTACACTTTCACAGACGATGGCTTCCTGTCGCTTGTAACCTGTGAGTATTAACGAGACTAACGAGACCTTCAAAGAGAATATTCCTTGGCTAGCTTCCTATCGTGTGTTGATGGGCTCCCACATGTCGAGCTCCTTGAGGTGGTGCCTTTCTGCAAGGGCATCACAGGCCCCGGACTGAAGTCGCGGTCTGCGTGTTTTCGCCCGCAGTCGTTTCTGAGTCGCCGCACTCCGATTTCGATTCTCGATCAGTAGCCTGACGCAGGGATTCATCCTCATGCGGTATGTGCCTTAAAAGCACTAAAAGGCCTTTTTTTTGCATCCGGACTGCCGGAGCCAATCAGCCAGAGCACTAAAGGCCTAAAACCCTAAATCCCATAATAAGCTCGGCCCAAGGGCCCTGGTTGTCGTAGCCGCCCTGGTTGTCGTAGCCCTGGTTGTAGCCCTGGTCCTGCCCGGCACAAGTCAGTGCAGGCACGAGCACGGAAGGTGAAAGAGGCTCTGAAGCTCAGCGTTCAGGGTTCATGGGCTCAGGACTTAGGATTGAAGGTCTGGGTTTCGACCTGACGAACTGCTAATTATTGGTACTAGGCTTGGGATCCAGGGCATAAGAGCCCTGAAGCTTATAAGTCGGTTCAAATAGTCTGTGCCGGAGCTTGAGGCTGTTTCCAGGTCATTGACCATGCTGGCGTACACCACCTGGGAGGATCAAAGAGGTTCCTGTCGCTCAGCAGAAGCGCATGAGCTCTCAGCTTGAGATCGTGAGTTTGAGGGTCCAAGGGGCGGGCACCACATCGAAGTAGGCTTAGATCATAGGTCTTGTGGGCGATATCGCAGGAGCCGGATTTGCATGGGCATAGGGAGCGGGCACAGGCGTAGGCACTTGCTCAAATTTGCTTGATCGCGCGACCTCGGGCTTAAGTACTTTGGACTGGATTCCATGGCAGAGATGCTCCACCTGCCCCCTTTGCATCTGGGCTCGCTGTGATAGCCCCTGCCCCCAATCCCAAGGCAGCACCAAGATGATGCTCAAAAACAACATCCTTTCAAAACGCCCCGAACTCCTCAGCGGGCGGCATCATCGGCGGGGCCTCGTCCTTCTTCGGGGGCCGAATTACAGGGAACTGCGGCTACTTAGGCCTTCGGGGGGATGTGCAGCTGTTCGCGGTCCAGGTTTATGGCTCATATCCCAAAGATGACGGTTCAAAGGCCTGCGCGGTTGAGAACCCCTAAGCCCTAAGCATCCCGAAGTTGAAGTTAGGGCAGTTAGAGGGAAAATCGCACGATACGGAGGGTACCAAGAACTCTTTCTAACACACCTCTTGATAAGAAAGCTGACGACGGCACCTCCCGAAGACACGCGGCTAGCCGTTTCTGCCACGGCGAAATCATCGCAACGGAGTCCCCCTCAACCCCTGAACCCAGAATCCCCAGAGGCATCCAGTGGGCTCCCATCCATTCCCCCCTCTCCGTCACCCCTAATTACGCCTGAAATCCTACGCGAAGGCTTATGGACCGTCAGGGAACAGGTTTATTGGAAACCCCCCCTCACCCAGGTTGCACAACCTTACAACCCCAAACACCTTACAACCCCAAACCCGAAAAAAAGGATGTGTGTGGGGGGGGGGGGGGGTGCCTTCGGCTCATGCACGATCACGGCATCCGGCAGCTGCATCTTCGGACCCATCTTTCCTTCGGGGTCGTGGGACATCATGATCTTGACCTCAGGGCTTCGACTCGAGGGTTTAGGGTTTAGGCTTAAGGGTCAGGGGGCCTTCGGGGTTGTTCTGAAGGGTGTAGGCTTCGGGGTGAACAAGGCTCCGATGCTGTTGACCTGCCGGACCTGCCGGCCAGGAAATACTTTTCGTGGCCCTGAAGAGGAGATGCTTCACAGCACGCGCAAAGCTACAAAAAACCCACTGCTTTGTGAGAGGGAGAGGCAGGGGAACAAAGGACATCAACTCTGAAGAAGAGGCTCTGGGGTTTAGGGCGAGGGCTTGTTGTAGTGTTTTGGGGTTTTTTGGGGGGGCTTTTTCGGGTTTACAGAGAGTTGATTGTCGGAGCTAGAGCTGCAGAAGCCAACTTCATCCTTACGCTCCATGCCAGCCTTGATCCCGATCGTGCCCTGTCGCATCTGCACGTGGCGGACGGCCTCCGAGATGTAGTGCCTCTCTGCAAGAACTCCGCTCTTTTTATCTGAGCTTTTCAAGAGGTGCTGTGTGCCTAATTCAAGCTTCAATCGTAACCGTCTATTGCAACATGGCTGCCTGATTCTGTGAGCACCTCTCACTTTCAGGCGGAATTTGCAACGCCAACGATCGTGAAAGAGCTGTAGCTGCTTAACACCCGTTTGCAGAACTGTCGTCGCAGTCGCAGTCGATAGTCTTAATTGCAGAATCAAGAGCCCTGGAACCCTGACTTGAAGGCTCAGGGGTATTTGGTACCAGTAAGTCGGGTAACAAACGGTCATAGGCAGAGGCAAGTGATTCAGGTGCACATCTGAAGCTGAACGTACCCAAAGCTACCCATCAACAGGCACATGGGCACTCAGCCTCTTTGGCTCACCAGTGGAGATCAAGTAGCCCTGCCTGTGATGCAGCTACTCTCTGTCAGCGGACTCAGCGGACTTTCAGACATCTGCGAAAGTGCTCCGAGAGAAAGGCCCCTGTGCATTCGAAGCACTGAGAATGCTAAGCTCTCCGGAACCGGACAGCAACGGCACCAAAGCCTCGCTACAGCACGCCGTAACCCCTCCACATTGAAACGTCAACCTGACCCACAACAAAAAGAAAAACCCTGCACTCCAACTCTAATCTGTGGGGCGCGCTCAAAGCAGAATCAAAATCTGAGCCTTACAGCGTCTGTAGGCCATTGATGCTTGTGAGAACACTGCAAGACTTCTTTCGCGGTTTTAATGTTCAGGGCTACGAAGCAGGTTGCGCCTGAACTTCATGGCCTTTGCTCGCTGCGCGCGGAGCTTTCCGCTGATGATGACCTCCACACCTTTGGCGCCATTCTCCATGATGAACCTGCTGATCTCTACGGGGCCCGGCTCGAAGGAGGGCTTGAGCTTGGCTATAGCCCTGTGGCCCTTAACCCCTACACCCCTCCAAGTCTCCCCCCTACAGCAGCCCCTTGAACCGGGACACCTGACGAGGTAGACATCTAAGCACCCCAAGAGTAGAAGCACCTCGAGCTGGCGTCACCCTACACCTAACCCCAGTTCTAAGCGCCCACGAACCGAAGCAAAGTCGGAAAAAGCCCTCCTGAAAGTTGGAATCATCTGAAAAAAACCCGCTTCGAATCTTCGATGTCCTCAGGCCTCAGGACGCCGTAGCAGGCGCGGCGGACTGCCAGGCCGCCAATGAGCTTGAAGCCTAATGGAGGATTCCCGATGACGGGGGAAGGGCTTAGGGCTTTGGGCTAGGGGAAGGGGGTATGTGGGGTTTCGGGCTTAGGGTGTCTCTAGGGTTTAGGGCTGCGCTTGGCAAAGGGAGTGGTTGGTGGTCTTGCGGCACAGATTTCAACGAAGTTGGGGTTGAGAGTCTGTCCGGCGGATGTAGGACACCTTCTGCTTCTTCTGGTCAGGGCTTCGTAGCCGTCATAGCGAAAGGTAGAGTGGACTTGACCTTTGTCAGTTGCCTTTTGAAATGAAGGGCATGCAGGGATGGTTCCTCACCATGTAGACGGTCCCTCGTAGGCTCCCGCAGGGCGGGGATCTCTTACATCACGCTTGGTCTAATCTACTTACATTGACTTGCATCTCGCTCCATACCCACACCTCCCCCCTTTGCCAGCATCGCGGGGAAAAGTCCTTTCGGCCCGACCTTTCCTTGAAAATCAGTGAGCAAACTCAGCCTCGGTGTACACGCCGACGAATGCCGCGTTGAGCGTAGAGATTTAAAGGTTTGGGGCCCGAAGTACCCAAGCTGGCGGGCTGCGAGTGGAACTACCAACCTGGAGCACACGGGCAGCACAAATTCATGCTGACAGGTCACGCAGGGACTCGCACTGGGCCATGGCGCAGCTGGCACGATTCCTTATCTCGCCGATCTTTTTGGGAGGAGGCACAAAACTTGACCAGGAGCACAAAACTTGGCCAGGATTTCAAGCGGGACTCTTTAGGGTTGTTACCAGGATTTTAGGGTTGTATCCGGATTTCTTGGTTCAACGTGGGCCATACATGCAGGTCATAGGGTGATGATTACGTTTACCCTGTTGCCTCTTAGGCCTTTTAAGAACACCCAAGAACCTTCAAGTAGGGTGTCGAGTTGGGTGATGGTGAAGATTCTGCAGACAGGTGACTCCACACGCTCGGCAAAGAGCTCCACACTGTTCTCTGGGAAGCCAAATCGCTTCTGGACCTGGAAGGTTTAAGGCTTCGTGGTTTTAGGGGCTGTTCTGCCGTTAGGGCTTCGGGCTTCCGGCCTGTCCTGGAAACAAAACTCTAAACCCAGCCTTCAGGATGATTCGAGTTCTCGCACGTGGGGTTTACGAAATTAAGGGACCCTAATATACACCCCACCCCCAAATAGTAGGATTCCTTTCAAATATGGACCCCCGATAAGGTGCTCCTCAATTCGGAAACCCCCCCATGTGTTGCCAAGGCTCCAAGGCGGTCAGCTCGCGAATCCGGCGGCCCTTCTCGCCGAGGACCTCGCGGGTCCTCCGGTCTGGAAGAAGGCCAACACACATGGGGGCTTCCGAAATTAGGGGTACCTTCTTGGGGTCCTGATTATAAGATATTATAAGGGGATTCTACTATTTGGGGGCCAGGGGTCTCTTACAGAGGGGTGGGTGGCAACGAGTAGTTCATTCAACAGAGACTTACTTTGAGGCACTGCTGTCACTCTCACAATGGCATGTGCGAACGAGCATAGTGGCTTGAAGTCTACACGCAGCGATGGGGCCACCTGGCCTGCAATTTGTTGCTGGCCCCATCCTATTTGAGAGGCACAAGGCCCATGGACCATAATGCATAATGACATATAGTAGCATATAATAACATATAATCCTGTAAAATCGCATGTCGGAACATGTCAGAACATGTAACAATATGTACATGCAACAATAAAGGTTGTCAGGCCATCTCTGAAACTTTAACTGCTGCTCTCCGCTTCCAGAGGGCCAACCGCGCATTCGGCAACAAACGGAGGGCACTGTTGTGAAACCCCTCCCGGTACATGGGCTTAGGGTTTCGACAGCGTTTAGGGTTGCAGGAGGAGAGGAGTTCAGGCAGAAGCCCCTCAACAATGCTCCATGAAATTGTGTAGGGCTAATGCGTTCTCATTTTAATGAGGCCGGCCCCGAAGCACCGGCCACGTTGCACCTCACAGATACAAGACACCCCACCCCACACAGTGCTGCCGCAGCTTGAGTCAAAACCCTCATTCCAAAACATCCCCAAACCCAAGTTGACTCTCTGTCACGTAACCTGTTTCGCTTTCGGTCGGGGGCTTGTCACCGAAAAACTGTAACAAAGAAATCGGAACAACGGTCCTGGTGGCGCGGATGATGATCTCCGTGCGGATCGGCGTTACTCGGACCTCGCGGTGTGTATCCCCCCCTCCCCCCCGCCTTCTCGATACAGCTGGCTAAATCACGCTCTAGCCTTATTCTTGAAGGAAGCAGAAGAACACGTCGCAACAGGCGGCCAAGGCTTCTTAGAGGCCAGGTGTTAGTCCAGGGTTGGGCCGACTCTGCTTGGAGGCTAACGGCCATTTGAAGAAGCGAAAGCCATGAGCACAGACCCACAACAAAATTGTTGGCAACCCGTTGTAAGTTAGAACTACCTCACCTCCAAGTCATGGGGCTCTGAGCTCCGAAGCTCCAAAACACAGCGATTTTGTGTCCAGAGTCCGGTCTGGGTGTCGGGTTGTTTTTTTGGGTGCGCCTCGACCCCAGCGTAGCCATCTTCACCTGCAGGAAAGCGGTGAGGAGCCGAACCGCCTAGAAGGATATGTTATACTATCCATCTGTCTATCTATCTATGTTATATTTATATATATATATATATATGTATATATATATATAGACATTGGTGTTTATACCATATTCGACATTGAATTTATAGTACGTTTATTCTATTGTTTGCTGATATTATATAGAATAACCACAACCACACTTGCAGCACGCGGTCTCACATACAGAGCCCCTTCACATGCCACGTCACCGAGGGTTCGCGCCAGGAACTCATTGAGCTCGGCGTTGAAGACGCCGTCGGCCACAAACTTCCTCTTCTTGGACACCTGCTGCAGGGTTTGGGATGCCGGGCGTCCAAGGCGTTCAAGGCTGAATTCAAGTGTGTATAGCTCAACACGCCAGCCAAAGACTTGCTTCCGGCGGGTTCATGGACAAACTGCTCCACTTGCTCGCATTCAGAACACCGCCGTCGTCCTCACCCCTTCCTCAACCAATGAAACTAATGCTGACGTCAACTTTCTGTACCTATGCTGCAAAGCCTAGCTCGGGCCGCAAGATGCCAGCCTGTGCACCACTCATGGCTCTGTCAGGGCAGGCGAGGGAGGCAAGTGAGGGGCCCGCTGCGGTCTGAGCCTAATGCGGCGATCAGTCGGAGGACATTTGATGGACGCTCAACCGGAACCATACCGAATCATTGCTTTTGCCGGAGCACCCGAAGCCCCGAAAGGCTCGGAAACCCCTGAATCCCAAAACTGGGACTCTGCATTGCGGCGTGGGCTTGTGAGCAGGGCAGCTTCGCAGTATTTATACCAATATCATATAAAGAAGAGGTTCGCTCCTGGAGGTATGGGGACCTTATCGGGTTGCGACCTATAACAGCGGCTGGCACTACATCCCCCCGAAGCCCTACCGGTCGTGCGCAGCAGCTGTGAAACTGCGGATCTCGGCTTTTCTTGGTTCTGAAAGATGCTGAAGCCAGCACAAGCTACGGCTCATGCCTTCTTTGGGCTCATCTGCCGCCGGAGACGATCAAACAGGCCTCAGGCACTATCATGTGGGATTCATCTAAGCTGTGGTCCCTTCTGAACACCATGAGATGTTGCAGGCCCCTTTTCTCTAGGGTACCCCAAAACGGACCATCACCTAGGAGAGGTGACCATGTGCAGCATGGTAGTGGGTTGTCCTGTGCATAGGACACCAAGACCAAGACGTGGTGAACACAAATCAATGTGAATGTAGGGTTTAGTGTTTAGGGTTTAGGGTTTTTCCCACCCGACTAGCAAGCAGCAATGCGGGGTCATCACTACAGGGTTTAGGGTTTAGGGCTCAAGGAAGTCGTGGTTGCCGAAACCCCAGCATTGATCAAGACAAGTCGCTGAACTGGCTGGCATCTGGCCTGAGCTTGTGCAGAGGCCATCTCCCCTGCCCTAAACCCTAAACACTAAATACCCTAAACCCCAAACCCTTTTTGCAACTGGGCTTGAGGACTAGCCAGATACTTGCAACCCTAAACCCTAAACCCTAAACATCCCTAAACCCTAAACCCCAAACCCAAAGCAAGCTCAGGGGCAGAGGGGGCAGCGGATGTGGCGGGATTTCCTTGCCGCCTCAGGTCCCACATCAGAAAAGCAGTCCCGGACAGGCATGTGTTATATATATATATGTATATTGACCCTCAACCCCACTTGCTTTAGGGTGGAGTTTTTTTTTCTTCCCTTTTTTTTTTTGCTTCCCTTTTTTTTTTGGTTTTCTTGGCTTTTGCTAGGAAAGCCACCATTCCCTCCGTATTTTCAAAGGATTCTTACTACTCTTACTCGGATTAGGAGCTGGTTATTTTTTGGGGGTATTTTTTTGGGTTTTTTGTTGGGTGTTTTTTGTGGTTTTCATGTGTCATCTAGAAAAGTCCTCTATTTACTATATGCGAAAAGGTATATATGTATATATGTATATATGTATATATGTATATATGTATATATGTATATATGTATATATGTATATATGTATATATGTATATATGTATATGTTTATATTTGTATGTATATATGTATACTTATATATATATATTGTTTAATTATTTAGCTATCTATATTTACATATATTTATGTCTTTATATATATTCATATATATTTATATACATTGAGATATACATATATATATTATATATACATTTATATATATATAATCTTATTTGATACGTATTATGTATTTTTTATATATATATATATATATATTTATTTATATTTATATGTGTTTATATGTGTTTGTAAGTGTCTATATATATATATTTATATTTATATATACATATATATAATTATGGATAATTCTATATATGTCTATAATGTATATATACATATAGCTTTATGTATATTTATATATTTATGTATTCATGTACTTATGTATTTGTGTATTTGTGTATTTGTGTATTTGTGTATTTATGTATTTATGTATTTTTGTATTTATGTATTTATGTATTCATATATTTATATATTTACATATGTATATATTTATATAGTTATGTATTTATACATTTATGTATTTATATCTTTCTATATTTCTATATTTATACAAGTTTCATATGCTTTGAAGCAAGCTTGCACGGCTTAAAAAAAGCGGGGGGGTTAGGGGGGGGCGCAGCCCCCCCCCCCATTTGCAAAAGATTCAGATGATTTGCATGATGGGTTTCAAAAAAAGTTTATGCTTTGAAGCAAGCTTGCACGGCTTAAAAAAAGCGGGGGGGTTGGGGGCGGCGCAGACCCCCCCCCATTTGCAAACACAATGCGTGCATGATGGGTTTCAAAAAAAGTTTCATATGCTTTGAAGCAAGCTTGCACGGCTTAAAAAAAGCGGGGGGGTTGGGGGGGACGCAGCCCCCCCCCCATTTGCAAACACAATGCCTGCATGATGGGTTTCAAAAAAAGTTTCATATGCTTTGAAGCAAGCTTGCACGGCTAAAAAAAAAGCGGGGGGGTTGGGGGGGGGGGCAGCCCCCCCCATTTGCAAACACAATGCTTGCATGATGGGTTTCAAAAAAGTTTCATATGCTTTGAAGCAAGCTTGCACGGCTTAAAAAAAGCGGGGGGGTTGGGGGGGGCGCAGCCCCCCCCATTTGCAAACACAATGCTTGCATGATGGGTTTCAAAAAAAGTTATGCTTTGAAGCAAGCTTGCACGGCTTAAAAAAAGGGGGGGGGTTGGGGGCGGCGCAGCCCCCCCCATTTGCAAACACAATGCTTGCATGATGGGTTTCAAAAAAAGTTTCATATGCTTTGAAGCAAGCTTGCACGGCTTAAAAAAAAGCGGGGGGGTTAGGGGGGGGCGCAGCCCCCCCCCATTTGCAAACGCAATGCTTGCATGATGTGTTTCAAAAAGTTTCATATGCTTTGAAGCAAGTTTGCACGGCTTAGAAAAGCGGGGGGGTTGGGGGGGGGGGGGGGGGGGGGGCGCAGCCCCCCCCATTTGCAAACACAATGCTTGCATGATGGGTTTCAAAAAAAGTTTCATATGCTTTGAAGCAAGCTTGCACGGCTTTAAAAAAAGCGGGGGGGTTGGGGGGGGCGCAGCCCCCCCCATTTGCAAACACAATGCTTGCATGATGGGTTTCAAAAAAAGTTTCATATGCTTTGCAGCAAGCTTGCATGGCTTAAAAAAAGCGGGGGGGTTGGGGGGGGGGGGGGGCGCAGCCCCCCCCCATTTGCAAACACAATGCTTGCATGATGGGTTTCAAAAAAAGTTTCATGTGCTTTGAAGCAAGCTTGCACGTTCAAGGCTTCGGGGTTCAGGGCTTACTTTCGTTCTTTCTTTCATTCTTTCATTCTTTCCTTCTCTATTGTTGGCTTCCTTTCTTTACTCCTTTCTGTTGTTTGTGTTTCCTTCTTTTTTTCTTTCTGGCTGACTTTCTTTCGTTCTTTCTTTCCTATTGTTTGCCTCCTTTCTTTACTCCTTTCTGTTCTTGCCGTCTTTCATTCTTTCTAGTAGTAGTAGTAGTAGTAGTAGTAGTAGTAGTAGTAGTAGTAGTAGTAGTAGTAGTAGTAGTAGTAGTTTCTTTCTTTCTCTCTCCCTTTCTTTCTTTCTTTATTTCTTTCTTTCTTTCTCTCTTCCTTTCTGTCTTTCTTGCTGTCTTTTTTTCGTTCTTTCTTTCTTCTTTCTGTCTTTCTGCCTGCTTCTCGTTCTTTCTTTCTTTCTTTCCTTCTGTCTTTCTTTCTTTCTCTCTTTCTCTCGTTCTTTCTTTCTTCCTTGCTTTCTTTCTTTCTTTCTTTCTTCTTTCTGTCTTTCTGCCTGTTCTTTCTTTCTTTCTTTCTTTCTTTCTTTCTTTCTTTCTTTCTTTCTTTCTTTCTTTCTTTCTTTCTTTCTTTTTTTCTTTCTTTCTTTCTTTCTTTCTCTCTTTCGTTCTTTCTTCCTTGCTTTCTTTCTTTCTTTCTTTCTTTCTTTCCTTCTCTCTGGTTTGCTTCCTGTCTTGAGACTGGAGAACACGAGGACCCCCCCAAAAAAAAGGGAAGCAAAAAAAAAAAAAAGGAAGCAAAAAACACACCCTCCCTTGCTTTACCACCGGCATTTGGGCCATCGAAATTAAAATTGTGTCCCAGCGAAGTAAACCCTACAGCCTCTGGGCTTGCCATTCGTTCCTCCTACACGACTTCGAGACACTACAGCTTACACACCTTCAAGCTTAGACACGTTGAAGGTCTGTCCCTCCCTTGAAGGCACACCCAGCTGATGCTCGTGATGCTCGCGCGCCTGGTCCTTCCCTTGAGGGCACTCCTGCTCGCCACCACTTGAGGGCACACGCAGCTGCCGCTCATGATGCTCGCCACGCTTGGTCCCTCCCTTGAAGGTACACCCAGCTGATGCTCGTGATGCTCGCTGCACCTGGTCCTTCCCTTGAGGGCACACGCAGCTGATGCTCCTGATGCTCGCCACGCTTGGTCCCTCCCTTGAAGGCACACCCAGCTGATGCTCGTGATGCTCGCTGCGCCTGGTCCTTTTCTTGAGGGCACACGCAGCTGATGCTCGTGATGCTCGCCTCGCTTGGTCCTTCCCGTGAAGGCACACCCAGCTGATGCTCGTGATGCTCGCTGCACCTGGTCCTTCCCTTAAGGGCACACGCAGCTGATGCTCCTGATGCTCGCCACGCTTGGTCCCTCCCTTGAAGGCACACCCAGCTGATGCTCGTGATGCTCGCTGCACCTGGTCCTTCCCTTGAGGGCACACGCAGCTGATGCTCCTGATGCTCGCCACGCTTGGTCCCTCCCTTGAAGGCACACCCAGCTGATGCTCGTGATGCTCGCTGCGCCTGGTCCTTCCCTTGAGGGCTCACGCAGCTGATGCTCGTGATGCTCGCCTCGCTTGGTCCTTCCCGTGAAGGCACACCCAGCTGATGCTCGTGATGCTGCGCCTGGTCCTTCCCTTGAGGGCACATGCAGCTGATGCTCATCATGAGCATCAGCTGAGCTGTGTGCCCTCGCGGCAGTCGACAAGTCGTCGGACTTTCGGTTCCTGCAGATGCTTCCGACTGTCTCAGTCTCCACAGTGCTTGTGCCCTCAAGGGAGGGAACAGGCGCAGTGAGCATCATGAGCATCAGCTGGGTGCTCCTTCAAGGGAGGGACCAGGCGCAGCCATCTGCGTGTGCCCTCGAGGGAGGCACCAAGCGTGGCGAGCATCATGAGCATCAGCTCAGGCGCAGGGAGCACCATGAGCATCAGCTGGGTGTGCCTTCAAGGGAGGGACCAAGCGTGGCGAGCATCAGGAGCATCAGCTGTGTGTGCCCTCAAGGGAGTGACCAGGCGCAGCGAGCATCACGAGCATCCGCTGGGTGTGCCTTCAATGGAGGGACCAAGCGTGGCGAGCATCATGAGCATCAGCTGCGTGTGCCCTCAAGGGAGGGACCAGGCGCAGCGAGATGAGCATCAGCTGCGTATGCCCTCAAGGGAGGGACCAGGCGCAGCGAGCATCACGAGCATCAGCTGCTTGTGCCCTCAAGGGAGGGACCAGGCGCAGCGAGCATCACGAGCATCAGCTGGGTGTGCCTTCAAGGGAGGGACCAGGCGCAGCGAGCATCATGAGCATCAGCTGCGTGTGCCCTCAAGGGAAGGACCAGGCGCAGCGAGCATCACGAGCATCAGCTGGGTGTGCCTTCAAGGGAGGGACAAGGCGCAGCGAGCATCATGAGCATCAGCTGCGTGTGCCCTCAAGGGAAGGACCAGGCGCAGCGAGCACCACGAGCATCAGCTGCGTGTGCCTTCAAGGGACCAAGCGTGGCGAGCATCATGAGCATCAGCTGCGTGTGCCCTCAAGGGAGGGACCAGGCGCAGCGAGCATCAGCTGCGTGTGCCCTCAAGGGAGGGACCAGGCGCAGCGAGCATCACGAGCATCAGCTGGGTGTGCCTTCAAGGGAGGGACCAAGCGTGGCGAGCATCATGAGCATCAGCTGCGTGTGCCCTCAAGGGAGGGACCAGGCGCAGCGAGCATCACGAGCATCAGCTGGGTGTGCCTTCAAGGGAGGGACCAAGCGTGGCGAGCATCATGAGCATCAGCTGCGTGCGCCCTCAAGGGAGGGACCAGGCGCAGTGAGCATCACGAGCATCACATCAGCTGCGCGTGCCCTCAAGGGAGGGACCAGGCGCAGCGAGCATCACGAGCATCAGCTGCGTGTGCCCTCAAGGGAGGGACCAGGCGCAGTGAGCATCACGAGCATCAGCTGGGTGTACCTTCAAGGGAGGGACCAAGCGTGGCGAGCATCATGAGCAGCAGCTGCGTGTGCCCTCAAGGGAGGGACCAGGCTCAGCGAGCATCACGAGCATCAGCTTGGTGTGCCTTCAAGGGAGGGACCAAGCGTGGCGAGCATCATGAGCATCAGCTGCGTGTGCCCTCAAGGGAGGGACCAGGCACAGCGAGCATCACGAGCATCAGCTGGGTGTGCCTTCAAGGGAGGGATCAAGCGTGGCGAGCATCATGAGCATCAGCTGCGTGTGCCCTCAAGGGAGGGATCAGGCGCAGCGAGATGAGCATCAGCTGCGTGTGCCCTCAAGGGAGGGACCAGGCGCAGCGAGCATCACGAGCATCAGCTGGGTGTGCCTTCAAGGGAGGGACCAGGCGCAGCGAGCATCATGAGCATCAGCTGGGTGTGCCTTCAAGGGAGGGACCAAACCAGATTCAGCAAGATACATAAGACCAATTGCGCTGCAAACCGGGAGAGACGGACACAAAACTCGGGCCTCCTAGGCTCTCTCTTCTTCCTCTTCTTCTTCTTCTTTTTCTTCTTCTTCTTCTTCTTCTTCTTCTTCTTCTTCTTCGGGGCTTCTTCTTCTTCGGGGCATGAAGGGCGCACCAGATGCCCTCCGCGCAGAATGCGCCCCCAATCCATGCTCAGTCGGCGTGAGAAGTCGCCCCGGGAGGGAAAGAGACCACCAGAACCATCAGACCGAAAGGGCGTACATGTAATTCCAACCTTGCATTCCCCTTTCCCCCTTGAATGGGCTTGTGTGAACCTAGGCTCTCTCTCTCTCACTCACTTCCTGTCATGGGGCGTGAGGTCAGGGATTTCCCCCCTCCCGCGCGCTCTAGGAGCACCCCCACGTGTTGCACACCAGCGTGCGGGCGCAAAGCCCCTAAGTCCAGCGAGCTTCCACAACGCCAAAGACTGAGCTTGCAGCTGTGCCCATGCTGCGACCTCTGGGGGTTTAGGGTATTCGTTTCTTCTGCCATCTGCCCACCCTGGTCACTGCCAAAAAGTCAGGGTTGAGGGCCTCTGGGCTGTGAGGAAAATGAGAAGAAGGGGCATGCTAGACCCGAAGCAGAAGTCGGGGTTCTCTACGCACAACGCGGCTGCCATGGGCCCATGCGAAGAAGCCTTTTTATGCCTTTTTAGCTGACAAACATGGAGCCGACATCCTCAGCCCTAAGCTCTCAGAGCGACCACCCGCCAAGAAAACCTTGCTCCCTCCCTCCCCTCCCGCCCCTACAATCCTACAAAAGACCCTCAATCCCCAGATGTGCCCTGAACCCTAATGATGCCTGTCCCACAGAGCAGACCGGTCCGGCCAAGCCCGATCCTCAAGCTGCCAGGCTTGCGAGGAACGGTCCGGGGCTTCTGGTCTAGGATGGCCCTTAAAACCCTCTGAAAAAATATTCCTGAATATGATCCTTTTAAACCCAATAAGGTAAAAATGTCCCAAGGCCCTACCTAGTAGTGTGTTTTGCGCCACCCGTCGAGCTCAGCTCCACGAGGGTTTATTGGGCTAAGGGTTTAGTGGCCTCTGGCCTGGGAATGGGTATGCTGAGTACTTGATCTTGAGTTTCTTGAATCTCACAGGGATTGGGGAGACTATTCATGTTGGGAAATACCAGGGGACCTATGTCTAGGTTTTAGCTCCGTTTAGTGAGGGCTATAGGGTTTAAGTTTTCGGTTTAAGCTTGGAGGTTTTCTGCAGCGGGTTTGGGTAGTGGAAGTTTCAAGGACTTGAGAGGGGTAAGAGACTCTGGGGGCCTGACTTTCAAGGGCAACCGAAACCCTAAACTACGATTTGCTGAAGAACCACCCAAAAACAAAAGCATATTCTTCCTTAGAAGGGTAATGTAGAGAGAATTGTTGTCTCTTTTGTGGGGTTCCTAAGCGTAGTTACCTGGCCTCAGGAGTTCCCTGCCTCTGTTTCCCTTGTAATGCGTCAGGCTCAGGACGTGTAGACTGTTGGAGCTTTCGAGGCTTCAAGGGTCTTTAGGTGCACTCGCGAGCGGCAGGGTTGATGACTCTGTCCGACTGTTCAAGAAGTTGGTCTTCTCTCCCTCCCTCTCTCCTTCCCTCTCTCCCTCCCTCTCTCCCTCCCTCTCTCCCTCCCTCTCTCCCTCCCTCTCTCCCTCCCTCTCTCCCTCCCTCTCTCCCTTTAATCCCCAGCAACCCAGTGCACTTGCCAAAACCCTCAAGCAACAAACTTGATAGACTCAAAGACTCTAAAAGTCTGCAACACCCAGGCACATCACATCCTCCCTTCCCAGCCGCTTTCCACGCTGTATCTGCACCATGCTCGAGACATGTTTGGCTCTTTCGAGCCTTTTCCGTTACCTTGCCGGGGGTGAAAGAAATGGCCAGGATGCAGCACACTGCCTCCACAGCTTTGTTGGGCGTGGAGGCTCTGCCATTGCTATGCCTTGATTTCAGAAGCTTTGGGTAGCTTGCCCCTGAGGCCGCGGGGCAATCACACTCCGCTGGAGGCCAGGTATACAACTCGCAATGGTCTTCCAAGCGCTCTCAGGCCCAAAAGCTTCACCATCTCCGTTGCACTGCCGCTCTCCCGCTGTATCATAGCAAAGAGGGCTGCGGGTTGAGGGCTTATGGCACCTTCGGGCAACTTGCGACATATGATTTATCCTGAAAGCCTTCTCTGATGTCGCCTTCTCCATGCAAGAGCACGGCTGCAACTGTCTGTCGGGAGACGGAACCCTCGAAATCTTTGGTGGGTCCGTGAAAAGCTTAAACACCGCAGAAGCGAGCACCCTCCCCCCCTAGTTAATTCAGAGCTGTCATGGTGTTACATGGCAGGGAGTTCTGAGGAGGTTTTAACTCGTATTTGGGTTTGGACGTCAAGCCCTGGCCGGCTGAGAGACTCTGTGGAGTCAGTACCTGGTTCATAGACTCATAAGAGGGCTGTCAGTGTCCCCTTTCCGTCAGGAAAACATGAGAATATGCAGACATGCTGGACAGGGGTTGGGGGTTCAGAGCCTAGAGCTAGAAAAAGTCCTGATCAACCCTATATAAACCCTTAACTGCAATCCACAGGCCACAGGGTCTATCCTCCTAACTCCTGATGTGGCGCTTACGTCGCCGTGCGATGGGAGAGGGCTGCTGGTACGTATGGCTCGGCTTTGTTTTTGCGAAGTCCTAGAGGCACGCATTTAAAGGTTTCTTTCGTTTGAGGCCTGTGTGGTCGTTCTATACTTGTAGCATTGGCAAACTCATGTTGTAGGCTCCTATACCACAGTACAAATCCAAGCTTGAATAACATGCTCTCCTGGGCTCTATAGAAAATAAGACATACTTCCTAAGGAGGGCATTAAGTATGTCCCTGTCACAAAAATGGCACACACCAAGGGCCGTCAGACCCGGCGCGCGAGGAAAGCGCTGGGTGCCTTCAGGGCAGAAGGGGCCAGGCGTTCAGGGCTGTTATTGCCGGGCAAGGGTGTTGTCCCTCCGAGTTTGGGGCTTAGAGCTTGGGCTGAGGGCTTTTTTTAACCTGTGATATTCCACAACAAAAAACCCACTAGTAAGAGCCCTCCGAATGAGTAAGAGCCCTCCGAATGAGAACGAGAATCAACAGACGAGACCCACTGAGACACACTCATGATCTCACCGCGCTGCGCCAAACCAAGGCAGTCCCAAGACCCTAAACTTCTGAGCAGATAATGAAAGGCCTAGGGCCTAGCTTCTACGACAAGATTCTAGGAGTTCCTTAATTCCACCCTCTAAAGCCGTGGCGCAAGCACCAAGTCGGAGGCTCCATGGTGCATGGGCCCATCGTGGCGCAGCGCGAAGCTGCCGAACTGCATGCTGTTCAGCACCTTGGGGAGGGTGGGTGGGGGGGGCGGGAAGTTTCTGAACCTCAGAACCGCGCAGCTCTAACACCTCGGGCTTCAGGCTTCTCCAGAATGAGGGGCACACATGGGGTGTCACATGCAGAAGCAGCAAGCAGCAAGACGCGCAGGCATTGCAAGTCTTGGAAGCTGCGCGTCAGCTAGGCAACTCTACTCCGCGCCTATCAGCGACAAGCGAAAGACACCCTGAACAACCGTGCCTTCATCTCCAAAGACACACCAATCCCCACAATTCGAAGTCAATCGATCACGAAAACTGCCCGGATCCAGAGCTTGAACTTGAATTCGAAATCCCAAGCCGCAGGCCCTGCTCAGGTAAGACCCGCACCATTCGGAACCCCACGATGACCATGACTAAAAGGAGGTTGTCGTAGGCGCCACCGATGGCCTTGATGTTGGGGCTTTAGGGCTGAGGAAAGTTTAGGGTTTAGCAACCGACGCAGAGAGTTGGAAAAGCAAGGGGGGGAGAAGCCGCATGGATAACCGCTCTGCCTGCAATAGCCCGACGTAACACCGTGAAGTGTCGATAATCACCGTACGTAAGCCCCCCAAATCTCCAACCCCATTTCTTGCAAACGGGACATTGACAGCCTAAACAAGGCCTGGTGGAACTAGACGAGCTGCAGCACTCAATATGCTCGAAACCATGCTCTGGACCCTCATTCCACAACCCTATCTCCCACGCTGACCTCAACCCTAAACCCTGAACTTCCCCCTCCTCGGCCAGCACCGCGACAACACCCACGAGCAGCCGCTCGGAGACGGTGGCGGGGCCTGCGAAGGTGATCCTGGGCCCGGCATGCCAGGAATCCTACATACCCGTACATATCCCTGACCTCTGTCACTACATCCACAAAACCCCTGAACCCCAGACCCTAACCCCTTTTTTGTATCCTGGCCTGTGGAACTGCCGGGTAAAGAAAATGCACTAACCCTAAAAACCCCCATTCCCGAAACCCGCCGCAGAGGCTCATCGTGAAGAACAAGACGGCAGCGCTACCGCCTGCGGTTGCCAGGCGGTCTCGGGTGTTCGGGTTGAGGCGTATAGGGTTTGCGGGACCCTGAATCCTGCTACCCCATAGAGCCCCTACACATGCAACTGTGACAAAACCCCTAAACACAACCCTAAACCCTAAACCCTAAACCCTAAACCCTAAACCCTTATCCAGGAACCGATCGGCCGATCTAATCTCATGCGGATGGCCCCGGAATTCTGGAGGCCTTCAGGACGTTTGGCAGCTTGAGGGTTGTGGTCGTGAAGTTGATCTAGGGGTTTCGGGAGACGTCGCCCCGCCCAACAGCCTCGCACTCTGCAGGAATTCGGGTTTAGGGTGTATCCTTCACTTGGCAGATGTCCCCAAACCCTCGACCTCCCTCCTAATCCCTAAACACTTTTAAACTACAGACTGGTGTCGACATCTCATCGACCCTTTTTTAAGCACGGACTGAGGCTGCCGGCAACACCTGATCAACCCTAAACCCTAAACTCTAAACTCCAAACCCCAAAATAAACCCTGACCCTCTAAAGCCTCAACCCGAACCCCCTGGCTTCTGACTACAGGGCCGCACCTATGGTCTTGGTCACGCCGCCCCGACTCCACCACACAGGGTTCACCACGCCCTTGTCCTGCGGCTCTCGACAACTTCTCAGGAATCCAAAACCTCTTCAGCTCCTCATGGTCCGCCACTTTTTTTGGGACAGGGATGTTTATGCGAAAAGCGCTCTGAAACCGGGGACCCGAGGGCCTCGGACTAGGCGCCTCTCAAGGGTAACACACATCCCCGGCACGAACTCCGGCGCAGAAGGTTGGGGAGGTCTATGTTGCTCTTTTTTTTCTCCGCGGGGCGTCGCGACGGTCTCCCAAGGTCTAAAAGCAAAGTTGGCCACATCATCCTAACATGGGGGAGCTGGTTGCGAGGGCGTGTGCTTTCTTGGGCCAAGCCGGAGCTCCACTATGCCAGGTGCCGATGTGGAGAACAGCTCCTGAGAGCTCCCTCCCGATAGGGATCGTGGAGTGTGGGCTCCTCTTCCACTCGAGAAGAAGTAGGTAAAAGGAAGTCTTGAATCCCGATCGAAAGGGCATGCACCAGGTGCAGCTGAAGCGAACCCGGAGGCAGCCTTTTGTAAAGCCAAGACCGGGTTGTGGGGGGGAACGAAATGGACGTCAACTGGTGGCAAGCCTCTCCAGACCTGATCTCCCTCACGGGTTTTTTGGGTGGCAGCTCTGTTTGAAGGGATAGGGTCCAGGGAATTTAGGGTTTTAAACCCGAAACCCTAAACCCGAGAGGGGTTGCAGATCAGCCTAAGCAGTGCACCAGGGACACCATCTGCTCAAAATGCAGCCTCCGCAGCAGCAGCCACGGTGAACGTGGGATCTCAGAACTATCAAAAGCAACCAAGATGGAGCTCACAGCTCTCTTAGGGTTTAGGGCCGTTTAGGGTTTAGGTTTAGGGCCTAAAGAGTCC